ATAATTCATTCTGCAGCAGTGTTAATTGCAAACCCAATAACTAAACCGAGATTTAACCTTGAACAGCCCAGAGAAGGGAACGGAGCTGGGGAAGGGGCTGCTCCCCAATCCTGTGAGGAGCAGCTGAGGGAGCTGGGAAGGGGCTGGAGCAGCAGGAGGGGCTGAGGGAGCTGGGGGGGCTCAGCCTGGACAAAAGGAGGCTCAGGGGGGACCTTCTGGCTCTGCAACCCCCTGACAGGAGGGGGGAGCCGGGGGGGGGTCGGGCTCTGCTGCCAGGGAACAAGGGACAGGAGGAGAGGGAACGGCCTCCAGCTGTGCCAGGGGAGGCTCAGGTTGGACAGGAGGAGGAATTTCCTCCTGGAAAGGGTGGTCAGGCCTTGGCAGGGGCTGCCCAGGGAGGTTTGGAGTGCCCAGCCCTGGAGGTGTCCCAGGAAGGCCTGGCCGTGGCACTCAGTGCTCTGGGCTGGGGACAAGGTGGGGATGGGGCACAGGGGGGATCCGTGGGCTGGGAGGGCTTTTCCAACCCCAGTGATCCTGGGATTCTGGTCTCGTGGAAGGTGTCTCTGCCCATGGCAGGGGGTTGGAACTAGAGGATCTTTCAGGTCCCTTCCAACCCAAACCATTCCATGATTCTTTGATCACTCTTATGTCTCCTCCAAATGAACTGCAAGAAATCAGGTACCAAACGGGACGAAGCACAGCCGTGTCTGGGAGGTCACTGGCACCGAGGGGGTTAAAAACTACCTCCTTCTCTTTCTAATTGCACCTTAAGGAGCTGGGGAGATGCAGAGCTCCCTGTGGGATTGATGTGGGAGGCAGAAAAACATCTCCTGATCCCTGCAGAGCAGAGTCCCTGCACTGAGACCTGCAGGAGGTGGGTGAGTATTTAGGGCTGGGGCAGGAACTTGTTGCTCTGCAATAGAAGATTTGGTGCCATGGATCTTCCTGGGCAGCCTCGTGCCCATCTCCCACTGCCTTTGCCTGGGAATTGTGTTCCTTGTCCCTGTGTTCTCCATGGACAAAGGAACTTGTAGGTAGAGCAGCACCAACAGAGGCAGCTGGCAGGAAGGAGGGGGAATGCAGAAGTGAAATATCAGGAACTTCAATGAATGTTTTCAGCCACATGGAAGAAACAGGGAATGTCTCCCAGAGTGCAGGTGACTCCAAGCCCCAAGTACCGGTGAGTTCTGCAGCTCTTCTCTGAGCTGAGAGCCCAGCTCCAGCTGGTCCTGGTGGCTGTGCTGGGACGGGCTGTGATGGTGACAGTGACATCTCACTCCGGGTGTGGCAGGAGCAGACCCAGCTCGGCTACATCAGACCCTCAGGGAGGAAAAACCCCGCTCTGTCCTGGGACCCTGCTCAGCCCTCTGCTCCCTGCAGCTCTCCAGCAGCTCCAGGAAGGTTTCCAAAGGGTCCCATCAGTCCAAGATCTTCAGGAATCTTCAGGATCTGCAGGGCTCTTCAAGGGATCTTTTCTCCCAGGTATCAGGGAAAACAAGCAGAGCAATGTGCAGGGTCTGGGGCAGCCGAAGTCTCTTTGGGGGCAGAATGGGCATCCCTGGAGCTCTGGGCTTGTGGGTGGGGTGGGGGGCTTGCCAAATACTGTGGCACTGGCTCAGCTTTTTGCTAATTGGGTGTTTCCTGACCAAGACAAGCACTTGGCACCTCAGTTCCCGTTGGAGAGCAGCACGGTGCTGGTCAAACGTCCTTAGAGCTCCAGGGCCAGCACAAAGGACTCCATCTCCCCACTCCCCATGCTTCATTCCAGCTTTGATCTGGTCTCCGGGACTGGACATCCTTTGGACACTGGAGTGTATCAGGTGTGCACCTTGGGCAGTCTTCCTGTTCACTTTGATCCAGGAGGAATCCCATCTGATCCAGGCCCACCCCAAGGGGAACAGGGCACTTCCAGTGGCAGCTGGCAGGACACTTCCTTCACAGGGGCTCTCCTGGCCCAGTGCAAGCAGCTGTCAAAGGTTTACCACGGGGGGAATCTGAGCTTCTAGACCCAACCTCCTGCCAGTCCCTGTTTGCCACTGGCCGGGTCAGACCAAAGGTGTTTGATGCTTTTTATTTTACAGGACACAAAAGCCCTCAGTGCAGGCAAGAAACAAGAAGGGTTCATGTCTCTGAACTGCACTGCCTTCTCCCATCCTCCCTGTTTCCTTCTCCTTGGCATCCCTGGGCTGGAGAAGGAGCAGTTCTGGATTGCCTTCCTGTTCTGCATCACGTATGGCCTCGCCCTGCTGGGGAACATCTCCCTGCTCCTGGCCATGAGGGCAGAGCTCACCCTGCAGGAGCCCAGGTACCTCCTCCTGGCCATGCTGGCCTTCACTGACCTGCTCCTGTCGACCTCCACCATGCCCAAAATGCTTGGCAGCTTCTGGCTGGGCTTGGGGCAGATTGGGTTTCCCTCTTGCCTCACTCAGATGTTCTCCATCAACACCTTCTCCACGGTGGAGTCGGGGGTGCTCGTGGCCATGGCCTTGGATGGCTCTGATGCCATTTGCTGCCTGCTCTGGCACCCTCTGGGGGCCCGTGGTGGGGCCCTGGGCAGTGTGGGGTTGGTGTGGGGGGTCCTGCTGGTGAGCCCTACATGCCCCCTCCTCCACAGGAAGCAATTCTGCCAGCACCACATCACCCCCACTCCTCCTGCCAGCACGTGGCCCTGGGAAGGTGGCCTGTGGGGACACCAGGGTCAGTGCCACACGTGGCCTCTTTGTGGCTTTCCTGGTGGCAGTGACGGACCTGCTGCTGCTCCCGTGTCCCACACCATGATCGTGGGGTGGTGACGAGGCTGCTGTCCCCAAGGAAAGCCTTCAGCACCTGCACATCCCATGTCTGTGCCATGCTGGCCTTCTACATCCCCTCCCTCCTCACGGCCCTTGCCCACTGTGCTGGGCAGGGCATCCCCCCCCCCACATCAGGGGGGCCAACCTGTACCTGCCCGTGCCCCCCACGCTGAACCCCATTGCTTGTGGGGTCAGGACTGAGAAGCTCTGGACAGTGTGGTCATCCTCCTCCAGTGTGAGGGAACCTGACCCCAGTGGGTTGGAGTTGGTGATCCTGAAGGTCTTTTCCCACCTTTATGGCTGTGTGTGTGTGTGCCTCAAACTGCTGATGATTTACTGCTGCTGGCAAATTTAACCAGAGCTAACGCTGTGACTGCGAGTTCAGGAGGAACCTCCCTCCCTGCCCGGAGTTCAAGCGACGGGTTCTTGCAGAAATCACCTGGTTCTCTCCTCTCTTACTGCTGTCCAGGAGGTTTCATCCACTGTGTGACGAAATTTGGCATAAAAACATTCAGTCTGGCTTCTACACCCCGTGGGATGGAGAGTTTATCTGTCCCAGGAGTTAAACTCCTCACTGCTAAAATCCTTTCTCTGTTAAAAAAATATCCTCTCATGACTAATTATTTTCACTGCAAGGCTGAGTGTCTCCAGAAGATCCTCCTGCAGCAGATTTCATTTTATGAAGAGTGTTCCCTGGGCCATGTGATGGTATTTAAAGCCATGTAAATGTGGCACTTGGGGCCGCGGGTTAGTGCTGGGCTTAGCAGCCCTATGTTTATGGTTGGACTCAATGACTTTAAAGGTCTTTTCCTACCTAAATGACCCCCTGATTCCCTGGGAAGGTACTCAGATGGGAATGGTGGCTGTCCTTGAAGAAGGACACAGGTAGAATTTAATTTTCAGCATTAACAGACCCCTCTAAGCCCAGGTGACAAAACTCCAGCACGTTATGGACCATGCTCTGTTATCAGTGCAGAGTGAGGAGCTCTAACAGAGGGAGAGGAGGTCTCTGGCCTGGCCTGGCATTTCTCAGAGCTCTTGGTCCCTCTGAGCAGCCCTGATTGTTGTGGCCACCCAGGAGGAGCCTCAGGGCTCTGATCTCTCTCCGTGAGCTGGACCCCAGTGGGGAGCAGGAGGGGGAGCCCCAGGAAGAGAACTTGCTCTTCTGCCCAAGCAAAGCAGAGGTTGGGCTGCAGACAAAATGGGAAATGAATATTTTTTGGCATCATTTCAGTAGAATACTTGAATTTCAACTTAAAGTTCATCCTTTTCCTCCAGCTAAAACAGAAGCAGCTTTTCACAGAGCACAGCGAAAAGGTGGGGGAAGGCAAGGGGGGAGAGGGGCAGTTCACCCAAAAGCTGGTGTCAGAGGACCCACCCCATAAATCAGGGCTGCACTGTTGTCTGTGGGATGATGCTCACCCACCACCACTCTGGGCATAGAACCCCCATTTTCTGTAGGGTCCACAGAAAATGCACTATTTTCATTTTCATTAAGAACATGGGAGCTGCCCTCATGACCAACTTCCATCCATCCACCCACCCACCCATCCATTTTGATGGGCACCCCAGTGTTTTCAGGAGTTCCATCTCCTGCTGGTGGT